GCGGAGCGGCTGGTAGTTTCGAACTGCTGACCTTAAGGTTCGCAGCCCAATTCGTAACCACTACGCTACCAGAGCTCATCTTAGGGCAGCCTTTTTGTAAAGAATATAGCCGAAACCCTGTGAGAGTTCATGGGTCTGCATTTGTTCTCTACCTTCCCAGTACACAAGTTCATGATTGCACTGCTGGATGCTAAGCATCAAGATATTTGCTTTTCTGCCTGTGGTGTTCTCCTAAATCTCACTGTGGATAAGGACAAACGGGTCATCCTAAAAGACGACGGTGGCATTAAAAAGTAAGTGTCAAGGCATAGAGTCCTCTAGGATTCAGAGGACATGGTTTTCTAAGGAGATTGGGCCCTGTTCTCATCCTTCCTGTGAGACAGGGGTCTTTCAGCAAGCTGGGGCTACAGAGAATTTAGGGTCCATAATTCAGATTATTGTTACTTTGTAGTAACTTAAATTCTTAGATATTATTTTAAAGGATCACTTAATTTTATATGTTGTTGTTAAGTGCCATGGAATCAGTTCCCACACATAGAGACCCTGTAGGCTTTTCTACAAGTGGCTGGTGAGTTTGAACCCCCAACCTTATTCAAACTGACCTTGCAGTCCAGTGCTTATCCTACAGCACCACACCAGGACTACTAATCTTACATGTTGTTGTTGTTGTGAAGTGCTGTCGAGTCGGTTCTGATTCATAGCGACCCTGTATAGGGTTTCCAAGGAGCAGCTGATGAGCTTGAACTGCTGACCTTGCAGTTCAAACAGCTTTGAAGTCTGGCACATTAACCCACAGCGCCACATCTATTAAACAGCACAGAAGGTAATCATCATAGTGCTAAAAGTTTTAAAATTACTGGCAAATGCTTAATAATGTCTCAATTTGCTTTTTATTAATTCAGGTTAGTGGATTGTTTGAAAGATTTTGGTCCAACTGATTGGCAGCTGGCTTGCTTGATTTGCAAAACTTTATGGAACTTCAGTGAAAATATCACTAATGCTTCCTCATGTTTTGGAGATGAAGAAACTAACACACTATTAGTCCTATTGTCATCATTTTTAGGTAAGATTTCTGAGTCTATGTGTTTTATCAGAATTAAATAAAAAAATAGAATAAAAATTTCTGTGATCTGTATGGATAAAGAGGAACTCTACTGGCATAGTTGTTAAGAGTGCAGCTGCCAACCAAAAGCTTGGCAGTTTGAGTTCACCAGCTGTTTAGTGGGAGAAAGATGGGGCAGTCTGCTTCTGTCACGAGGGAGAGTCTCGGTTAGCCTTGAGGGGTATTTCTGCTCTACCCTGTAGGACTGCTATGTGAATGGACCCAAAGATTTATTGGTTTGGTATGGTTAAAGGTGGGTATGGATTTGAGTGGATACATCTCTACTAGCAATGAGAGCATGTTAGAGGTTATTATAATTTGGAAAGGCCTGGAAAAGGCACGCCTACTGTTATTTACAATGTTGTCACAATGACTTTTAACTCAGTGAATACTATCACTGTTTCTTCTATGACTTCCTGCCTTAAATTTTACTTTTGCATCTTCTGGTGTTGTTGTTAGGTGCCATGGAGTCGATACCGACTCATAGTGACCCTATGCACAACAGAACGAAATACTGCCCGATTCTGGGCCAACCTCACAATTGTTGCCATGATGCTGCCACTTGGCCAATCCATCTCGCTGGGGGTCTTCCTCTTTTTCTCTGACCCTCCACTTTACCAAACATGATAGCCTTCTCTAGCAACTGGTCGCTCCTGACAATATGTCCAAAATATGAGAGACAAAGTTTGGCCATCATGGCCTCCAAGGAGCACTCTGGCTGCACTTCCAACACGGATCTATCTATTGGTTCTTTTGGCAGCCCTTTCAATATTCTCCAACACCATAACTCAAAAGCATCAATTGTACGGTCTTCCTTATTCTGGCTGCACTTCCAACACGGATCTATCTATTGGTTCTTTTGGCAGCACTTTCAATATTCTCCAACACCATAACTCAAAAGCATCAATTGTACGGTCTTCCTTATTCACTGTCCAGCTTTTGCATGCATATGAGGTTATTGAAAATACCATGGCTTGGGTCAGGTGCACCTTAGTCCTCAAGCTGACACCTTTGCTTTTCAACACTTTAAAAAGGTCTTGTGCAGCAGATTTGCCTAATGCAATGCATTGTTTGATTTCTTGACTGCTGCTTCCATGAGTGTTGATAGTAGATCCAAGAAGTCCTTGACAACTTCAATCTTTTCTCTGTTGATAAGAATGTTGTTTTTTCTGTATACCTCAGAAATACAAGATTTCAACCTAAATGTGGTGTTGTCACTTAAAAGTACAGGCACACTGTTTTGAATGAAAACATTTGCCTTAAAGCTCCTCCAAATTCAGTTGTACCTTTAAATGAACTTTTGTTAGTTAACAATAATAGTTAACTATTAATAAATAGTTATTTATAGCAATGTGGTAGCGGAGGTTGTCTGTGAAATGATTTGACTTTACAGTCTAGTCCACATCTATGAAGAGGCTGGAACTCACTGATACAAAGCAATGGGAAGAAGATAGAATCTATATCAAAAAATGTTTCCATTTAAAAATACATATATATATTTTTTGTATCCTGAGTTATTCAGATCTGAAAACAATGATTTGGTCAGGCTTGAATCAGTGAGGCAGCATGGAAAGGCTCACTGGGACTCACAAGACTGGGGTCAAATCCGAACTCTCACTGGTGGTGGGATGTGCACAGGAGACTCTCAGAGCCTGTCATTCATCTCTGAAACTTGCATCAGGTTAAGCCCTCTCCTGCCCCGAGGTGGTGTGAGGATAATGAAGCACAATGGAAAAGCCAGAGGCTCGTGCTATAGCCACTTGTGAGTTTCAGCCCTGGTGTGTCACTTAAGCTGTTTTATTTTATTTTATTTATTGTTATTGTATGTCATGTGTAATGTTTGCATGTGTAATTCAGTGACATTGACTACACTCACTGCTTTGTGCAACTATCACTGCTCTCCTTTTCCAAATGACTCCACCATCATTTACAGAAGCTCATGGCCCCTAAGCACCGGCACCTCCTTATGCCCGCCTTCAACACCCCTTTGTTCTTTATCGATTTGCCTAGTTCCTATGAGTGGGATCATACAATATTTGTCCTTTTGTGATGGATTTATTTCATTCACTGTACTATTTCGGATGCTCATCCGTGTTGCAGTGAGCATCAGGATCTCGTATCTCTTCGTGGTTGAGTAATAGACTTCTGGTGTTTAAGTCTTAAGCGCAGCCACTCTGGATGTATACTCCTTCATCTCTAAATGGGTATATTTCAGGTGCAGGGTTGTTCAGTCGCTAAAGGAGCTGCTGTGTGATGGAACCAGACACAGTGCCTGGCACATAGTGAGTTTCTGAGAACTGGTGGTTAAGGTCCTTTTGTCAGCTCTCACTGTTCCTAAGGGGGAACTCAGATTTGAAAGTTATTTGAAAACAATCAGGTTTTCTGGATTGGTGTGAAGTTTACTTTATCTAGGTAAATATGATGTTGTGTGTGGTGTGGGTGTGTTATTGGGTTGTTTTTAAATGCAGAGCAAGACAAACGGAGTCTGGTTTTAAGTCACTGAGCCTCAGACTGTGCCCTGTGAAAACTGAACGTCTTCAGGTGATGGGCAGTGCACTCGCTCTAGCCAACTAACCAGTTGCTGAGGCAACTTCGGCTCCTGGAGACTCTGTGTGTCAGAGTACACGTGTACTCCATAGGGTTTTCAGTGACGGCTTTTAAAAAAATAGACCACCAGGCCTTTTCTACGAGGCACACCTAGATGGACTCAAACCTCCAAACTTGTGGCTAACAGCCGAACACATTAGCCTTCTGTGCCACCCAGGGACCCCCACATTCTTGTTCCAAAAACTAGAGCCAAACCCACTACCATCAAGGTGATCCCTGCAAGACAGAGTGGAACTGCTCCTTAGGGTTTCTGAGGCTCTGAGTCTGTATGGAAGTACACTGTCACATCATTCTCCCTCAGAGCAGCTGGTGGGTTCAAACCACCACCGTTTCCATGAGCAGCCCAATACTGAACCCACTGTACCACCAGGGCTCCTTCATAGTGGTTCAGTGGCTCTTAACAGTGATTAAGCATCAGAATGTTTTAGACCATTGTGCCATTGAGTCGTTTCCGTAAATCTTTACTAGAGTAGCATCTTTCTCCCTCAGAATGGCTGGTAGATTCGAACCACCGACCTTGAGATTAGCAGCCCAGTTCGTAATTCACTATGCTACCAGAGCTCCTTTAAACTGTGGAGTTTTAAAAAGCTCGCAGTCCTGGCACCATCCTTTGGCATTCTGCCTCAGGGCTCTGGAATGAGGCTGGGAAAGCTGTGTTTTAAAATTGCAGCACAGGTGAATCTGATGTACAGCCAGGACTGCGAACCGCTGCCTTGCTTAAAGAAGGCATGTGGGAAACGGTACACAGGGAAGATGGAGTTCTAGAAGTAGCAGAGAGTCACCCTGTTGTAGACAAAGTTCTCTCCTCACTCTCCTGGCTCCCTGTTGGCCTTTGGTTGGCCATGGCTTCTGCTTCCTCAAGGCCTCTACTTGGCTGCCCTCGTCTGTATCTCTGCGTCTGTCTCCTCTGTTGCCAGGTGTACTGTTCTGTAAGGGTGAGCCTGCCTGGCTTCTCAGCTGGGGCGGTGCACCTGGCAGGGGCGTCATTGTAGTGGACCTAGTACTTACTCCTCCATCCCCTCAGCTCCTGCTTGTGCCTCCCTCACCTGTGTGCACGTGCCACACAGGTGAGGCCACATCCCCAATGCTGCCTGTCCTTGGAGGTCCTTTTCATAGTTTTTCAAGTTCATCATTTTTTAAACTTTTTTTTTAAATTGTGGAAATACGAGAGTAAGTCAACAAGTGTTAATGAAGTGAGGTGTATGATTTGCTGGATGTGGGACTGAATATCTGTTCTGTAAACCTTCACTCAATTAGCAATAAGAAATTTTTTATTATGTATTACCAAAGGGAAGCCGTAGGCTGGAAGCCAGATAACTATTGTTACTGGGCGGGGAGTGTGGTCATTGGGATGAAACAAAAGGTCTGATTGGTTGAAAGTAAAGCTAATGATCTTGTCTGTTTACCTTCACTCAATTCACAATTAAAAAGTTAAAAAAAATATATTACTACTAGGGTTCTAGTTTATACATTTGCACAGGTTTATTCCAAACAAAACATGCTTAAGCATGTCTCTGCAATTAGTGGACGGCTACAGACAAGTTCTCTCAGTAAAACTCTTATCTTAGTCTCATTAGAATTCCTTCAAATAAAAAAGAATATTTTGTTCCATGGAAAAAAAATTATTTTGAAGTCAGGACTACTATCAAATTTTTAACAAAATTACATGGCCATCTTCCCAAATCATTGAAGATTTGCAACAAGTTCACAGAATTGATGCCTCACTTAAAACAAGCTTTTAGATGAATGAAGCATTCTAAGGAAGGTCAAGAAGACCTCAAAGATGAGCCAAGAGGGGGAAACCATCGACTTTGATGAATGCTCTGGCTGGTGGAAGAAAACCATAGAAATATCATTGATGCAATTGCTACTGAAGTTTTCAATTCTAAGCAAACATCTTGGTCTTAAGCAAGCTATCTTAAGAGCCAAAAGCATTGTGCAAAAATCAGCTAGCTCAAAGAGCTGATCTTCCCAGCTGTCTCTTAAGTTAGATCAAAGCGAATGAAGACGTTGGGACCAACCATAATCGGGATGATTCTTGGCTTCACCAGTAGGATCCAGAGAGCAAGGGACTCCCAAGGGAATCTGTTGTGCCCTGTTAGATTCAAGGCAGCGAAGTCACTTCAGATGGTTATAGCAACTGTTTCTGGAAATCCTAAAGGGGTCATCTTGGCAGACTTCATCGAAAGACACAGGAAGATCAGGGAGGCTTCTTCGGAAGATGTTTTAAGAAAATTGAAAACTGCAGCATTGAGAAAAAGGCCAGGAAAGTTGAACTGAGGAATTTTTTTCTCTCTCAACAATGTACTCATTTTTCAAGGGTAGCTAGGGTTGTCCTACGAGACTTATGATGG